TTTTACCTTGATACAATATATTAGAACATTACATAACATCACGCCTTTTATCCCCGAAGGGGTAAGCAGAGGTGCGCTTTACAGCACTTAATGCCACTCTACAATGTAACACCCACTTTTCACTAATTATGTTATGGGGTGAGCCTATTGCCATATGCCAGCAGTGATGTATAAGATACCTTATACAAAGTATCTGAAATACTAGATGCAAGATACTTTTAAAAAAAGTATTTCAGATACCAGATACAAATACTTTTCTAAAAAAGTATCTGAAATACTAGATACAAAATACCTATCTTTAAAATACTTTTTAAAGATAAAATACTTTTGTAAGAAAACAGCATTTAATAAATTTTAATTGAATGTAAGTTTATTCGTTTTATTTGAAAACAGTTCTCGGATAGACCGCGTTGATATCAAGGATCAGGCAAATGTGACAAGACAAAATATGTAGGTAAGTTCGCGATCCCGAATCTCACAAAGGCGATATTGTTATTTATTAATTACAATATTTTATTTTAAACACCATACACCACGTCCACGTACACACGAAAAACCTCAGCGAAAAACTTACGGAAGGAGTGACAGTGACACTAGTGACAGATCACACTCATTGACAATCTTTTTTTTTGTATTATTTGTTTAAATTTTAATTTTGGCATTGACGATCTTACTTACTTAACCGATGACATTTGTAAAAAGATAGTGTCGCCATCTGTCATTTAGTTTCCATAAAATATGGTATCGAAATAAACGACGCGCTGCGTTCAGTTGCGTTCGGAAAGAAAAACTGCGAAGTTTATTTTAGTAAAAGTATCTTAGTGAACAAAGTATCTTCAAAATACTAAGATACCTGGAAAATGTATCTAAATATAAGATACAAAATATAAAAATTAAAAAGTATTTCAAATACAAGATATAAATACGTATTTTGTATCTTGTATCTGTATTTCAGATACTTTTATCTAAGATAAGTCACATCACTGTATGCCAGGCATTTCCAGACTCCGTGTTAATACTAGAATTGATTAAAAATCCTGTAATACTTTGCCCGGCAGTCACATTTGCGACTACTTGGCCAATGAACAGTATTTTAGAAGTAATATAAAAATCATGCTTGTAAATAAATAATACCTAACCAGGCATTTAAAAAAACAAAGAGGACTGTTGAACAATAAATTTCAGGTCCGACAAAGAATATTTGGAGGTTTTCTGGTTTCTCGAAAACTTCTCAGTGATAACAAGAAGTCGAAAATTCTACTCGATGCATAGGTATGCATCTTAAAGGTTTAAGTTTAAGTGTGGAAGAGCCATGCTTCGGCATGAATGGGCCGGAGTGATACCACGGCCTCACAGAAGACCGACGTGAAACAACGTTGTGTTGTGTTTCGTCGTGTGAGTGAAGTTACCGAAGGCCCAATTACAAACACCATACCATAGACTCTCCAACCTGAGAACCGAACTAAAGTCTTTATGTTCTACAGTTTTACTTATAACCACTATACCAAACGGGCAATGACTATGATATTTATCAATGTAATTTGGCTCACGACCTTGTTCTAAATATCGGCCGGCGAAATGCCAGCCATAGTTACAATCTCACCCCTAAATGGTGAACGGGGCTTACAACATTGATTTTTATTGGCATTTACCATGTTGTAGTTAAGCCAACCTGTGATTTACAGGGAAATTCGTTAACCTACTTAGTGAAATAAACGTTGCTAGATATATTTCTTTAGACTTAGACTTACTGACTGACATAGGTACTCTATTGGCTGACTGACGTGGGTACTCTATTGGATTTTTTTTTATTTTCTTTAAGGGGGGAAAATCATCGAATGACTGCTCCCGCCTGGGTGAGGCGGGAGGGAGTGTCAGACTCTTACTGACTAAAAACCACCCCGTTCCTTCTCCTGCACGTCGAGTCGGAGCCCCGGTTACCCGTTAGGTTCTCCGCGACTCCGAATCGGCATCGGCCGTATTGGGCCCCATCTGTGGTGGTCTGATGGCTCTTTGAGGCGCGCGCGGAACGCGACGCGCCGTACGCTCGGGTCTGTTTCTGGTCGGACGGGGAGCCACCCATGCTCGCCGTCCGCAGGCCCGCGCTTACGGTGGCCGGAGATCGTCCCGCGATCTCCGACGCCCGGTTACTCTATTGGATAGGCTTCCCCCCTATTACATGAGACTCGTAACATAAATAGTGAAAAGTGGGTGTTACCTCTGTGTGCACCTCTGCCTACCCCTTCGGGGATAAAAGGAGTGATGTTATGTTCTGTTATGGCGGTATAAGAGACATCAGTAATTCTGAACCTGCGAGCGAGCAGGAAGAATAAGAATGGTTACTTTACTTGGTAACTCGTGGTTTGCCGAGATACAGGCTCACGTCTAATTCGATCGCGGATGCTATAAGATAGTTAACTTTTTAAGTCTAAGTCTAAACTGTAACTATGTTTTGAAAAATAAATTATATAATACATTATGTTACTTCTGTATTCATAAACAGACTCTTTACCTTTTTCAAATGGAATACAGATTAACAATATTCACGGTCTAATTCACAATTTAATTGCTTGTCGCGATAGTGACATAAAATTATTTAACCTACATCTATAAATAATTAGTTGTAATTAAATATCTGACCTCATAAAAATAATGAATGAGTGCCCGGTTTTGGTGATAAAATCACTTTTTGGTGGGCCATTGAATTACGAAAAGTACTTATAATTTCTTTTCGTGCCACATAATCTTAAGTGTGGGAGAGCCATACTTCGGCACGAATGGGCCGGCTCGACCGGAGTGATACCACAGCCTCACTAAAACCGACGTGAAACAATACTTGCGTTGTGTTTTGTCGTGTTAGTGAGGTTACCGGAGGCCCAATTACCCCCCTCCCTAGTCCCCGTCTCCCGAATCCCTGAATCCTTCACAATCCTGAAATTCCCAATTCCCAAAAGGCCGGTAACGCCTTGGTGTTTCGGATGTCCGTGGGCGGCGCCGATTCCTTACCATCAGGTGATCCGTTTGCTCGTTTACTGAAGAAGAGAGTTCGCAGTTTAACAACTTTTTAGAGAACACTGCTGCCCTGTCTTTCTCAAATATGTCTCGATCTCGACACCCTTGGGACAAAAAGAAGTATTATACCTATATAAACAACATGTAACGTAATTAACGCACACCCTCAAACACCCCAATTAGAATATTATGTTATAATCATAATACATACACTAAATTTCTAATTTAACATGTATATGCATCCTATAATGTAACAATAATTTCCGTAGTTTTAATTATTTTTGGGATAAAAAATTACCTATACTAAAAATTACAATCGATTCAGTTAACGATTCTGAACAAACTATTTCCAGGATGTGCGTTATTTAAGTTACATGTTGTATATATAGAAATGCAGTCTACTCTGCTGTCACCTTATTTATTCTTCTACAAAGCCAAGCCTTAAAAGTCCCATACACTCAAACCTATCAAACGCCGCCCTTGTAAGAAAATTACACTAACAATAAAAATTCTAAATTATAACCAATTTGGTTTTATGCTCCTTCCACTATAGCCACCCATTACAATAAGTAAGCGCTAATAAAAATTTCAAATAATATTTTCTACTACTATCGTGACCTAGTTTGCTTTAGTTTAGTACTACGTTATTTTTGAGGTAGCTACAAGTGCTAGATTGAACTGCCTTGACGGTCGAGAGGTTACAATCGAAAGACTGAGGTCTTAAATGTTAATTGCGGATCGGAAAAGTATTATTTTATTACAATATTGTAAATTGTAAATCACCAATAGCAGTCTGTGACCACTTACTGCAGCTAGACTTTGGGTGCACCTCCTAATAGTCTCATAGTTGGCTACTCTTACGGCACTCGAGAGAGGAGTATGGATATCTTTTTTTCTGGCATACGCCGGTAAATGAGCAGATGGGTAACCTGACACCTTGAAGCGTTACAAGTGCGGTATCGGCCTTTTTGGGATCAGATTCAAGGATTGGGCAGATTGAGAAAGTGGTGGAGGGTAACTGGGCCTCCGGTAACCTCACTCACACGCAAGCGTAGTTCACGTCAGTTTTTGGTGAAGCCGTAGTATCACTCCGGTCGGCCCATTCGTACTGAAGCATGGCTACTCTTAGGTACAATTGAAAAATACTTACATTAATAGCTTAAAACGTAAATTATTATGTTTTCGGCTTACTCTCGTAATGATTTGACGAGGGACTCGACTAGTTTAACTAGTTAGAAAGTTACAATACAATGCTTAAAACGTAATAAAACGAAGTACACCTGTAAGTAAAAATATCAATAAAATTGTTATCTATCAAAAATAATACTTTAAGACATCGCAGCTGTCGTTTTATTTCGCTATCATTCCGAATCGACACTTGCAATGATTTTCTCTTCTTGATAATGATTTTATCTTAAACTCCTTAAAACTTTGTCAATTCATTTAACTTTATTATTTTCTTGTATTTGTTTTAAAGCCTACTCAATAAAATTTTCTTTACTTTACTGATACTGACCGCTGCGTTATCGTACCTATTCTGTAGGTTTCGATTCCTGGGGGCACTTTTTGGATTATCTTTCAATTTCCTGTAACTTAAAAACTAACTAAAATCGCGGGTTACTCACGTGAAAATACTGAGAAAAGCTCTACTAGTTTCGAACCACAGAGGGGTTCTTCCTTATGAGCAGAGTGCGCGGTCGCGGCGAGTGACTAGTAGAGCTTTTCTCAGTATATTCACGTGAGTAACCCGTGATTTTAGTTTTATTAGTATGTCTCACGATAGTTATCATAACTTAAAACGTTTTGGATTGGAGACTCTGTTGCATTCTAAGAAAATCAAATATTCTGGAGTGTAAAATCGGATCATCAATCCGATGTCAAGTGATACAAAGTAGTGATCACTCTGCCCATACATTTATAGAATTACCTCTTTCAGAATAAATATCAGGATTTATTTATGTACTCATTTGTATATTTAACTGTTCCAGGCTACCTCTTCCATGGCTCCTGTACGGTCTGATCAACGGCGAGCCAGTCCAAGTCAACTCTAAAGGCATGGTCTGCAGCATAGTGCTGCTCTTTGCCATGCTGCTGTTCGTGATCCTCAGCATCGCCTGCTTCAGGTGGAAGATGAACAAGGGTCTAGGGTTCACCATGTTCCTTCTCTATTTCGTCTTCGTGGGAGTCAGTCTCGGCCTCGAATACGGCTACCTCCACTGTCCGAGCGAATAGACTGGTCTTCTCGCCTTTTGGTCTTCTCTATTAAATAAGGAATGGATTTTCAATGTTGAGCCTTTGATGGTGACTATTCGTTTTGGGAAACACGAAAGAGTTTTAATTCGAAATAGAAAAGCTGATTGAACGTTTTATTGTAGAGTTAGCGATGGGGGGGGAGGGCAATTTAAAATAGTTTATGGTAAATAGTTGAGAACGCTAGAACTGTTTACCTAAAACAAATAGTCGGCAGTCAAATCGTAGCGAGTTGGTACTTCCAGCAATATTGCACCTCGGTTGCAGCAAACTATGCTACGTCACAGATTAAAAAATGTAAATTCGACGTCACATTGTAACATTGACTTTGACATTCTGACGTTGATATAATAACGTAACGTGCAAGCGTCGGGAAATGTCAAAATGTATAAATAATTTTATACGACATAATTTTAGAATGCTTTTTACAATGTGACGTTAAGTAAAGATTATTTATTTAATTATTTTATATGAATAATTAAATTTAATAATCTATGATTTACTGAAATAAAATAATAATTGCCATAGTTCGCTGCAACGAGAAAAACATAATATATAAAAACGTAAGTATTATAAGAAAGTTACTTTAGCGTTGTGAATTATTTAGTTTTATATTTTAGTTGTCTAGTTGCCATAGCACAAGCAGTAAGATATTGCTCAAATATTCATTTACTTTGTTGTTGCTTTGCTATGTAGTTTCGTTTAGATGTTTTTAAATGAATGCTTGTAATAGATGTATTGAACGAAATGACGAGAGATTTACGAGCACCAAATATACATAAGGGAAACTTAAAGACAGTAGAACAATTAACGAAGAATACAATTCCTATAAATATTGAAGCTTCAGTTGTTCTGATCATAAAAATAATAAGAATTATTGCATTGTAAATTGTCGAGGTACAACATTTTGTATCCTAAATAAATATTTAGCCATTATAGAGACTGTAGTTATTTATATGAATGTTAGTTGTTTAACTCGATGGCGCTTTTACGAAGTTTTAAGGCTAAGTTCTTGATCTATCGTTAATGTAACGTGTAAGTTGTGTTTGTAAATATTGAACGCGTTGTGTTCTACTTCTGTTCTCTCGTTCAGTTCATCTGTTCGGTCGCAGACCGTCGGTCCATGTGGATGATTTATATTTAAATGTATCGTTGTAACGAAAGCGTTCGATGTAAGTGTGTGTGGCCCGCACAAACAGCTAGATTGTACATACACACATAGAGGGTGGAAGAGCGGGGCAAATGTAAAAGGTTTAATAAAAATCTCATTCCATAAAATGTGCCTAAGAGTTTTACAAACTCAGTAACATTTAGCTTCGATTTTTATAAATTAACAGAAAAAAAAGAAAATGTTAAAAAAGTCATTATATCATCCTGTTAGCGGACTATGCTTACATATATAGTGTTATAGACTATCCGAGGACACATCTGTCCCGCTCTACAATATAATACGGTAGTTAGAGTTTACACTATCTCTATAAATTCTATCTTTAATTATAATGATCCTCCATACTCTTCGTTTCATCTATTGACTATCGGCAGAAATGATTGGGGTTGCATCTGGCAAGTCAATTCTTAATGTTACGACTATTTCTTCAAATATCTCTTCTTAATATTTAAAGGGCACGGTTCAGTAAATTTTATAAAGTTAAAAACATCTTGTCAACCGTCCATAGTTTCTGTTTCATATTTACTTTCCGCTTCTGCACACCACTCTGTTATCTATGACTCATGAGGAACTTTAATAAAATGATGGTAAGTTCAATTGTTGAAATCCAAAAAGTTTTATATTAATAACCCGCCTATTTGACATAGCAATAAATAGACTAGAATAGATAGTTAAATATTTATATTGTTAAGCTTTAACACTTCAGACCACGTGTCGCTCAAATGATGAAGGAAGCATTATTGGACTACAGACAGGTGGCATAGAGAAGTGACATGAAAGTACAATAGAAACTTCGTGATAGTACAATACATGTCCATTGGCACTTCTCTAGCCACAAATTCTTCTAATATACGCACAAGTAAACCATGAAATACTTAAAAGTTCGCTTCATATATCAACAAGAAATGTTTTAGTTGAACTAGATATCATCTACGTATGATAGAATTTATACTATATAAAGTTTACACGCTGACGTGAATTTGTTTGGAACATTTGTTTACAAGTTGACGTGGCAATAAGGTCATATTGTAGAATGTCATGCAGGAGTGTTGTCAATTATTTTCTACAATATGACGTCGACGTCTCGTTTGTGAACGATGGAAGATGAAAATAAGAAGACCTGATTGGCGGATATAAATGTAGCCAATTACAATAAGTAATGAGTTGTAAAAAATAATTTTCTAATCATGAGATGTAGATTTTCGGTATGTTGTGTAGGCATATGTTTTATCTGTGTGCAAATGTTCCATAACATAATTTATTGCCAATATAACTATTTAAATGACATAGTATGTTTTAGTAGCTGTGTTCAGAATAAAAATTTGTTTAATAATATGTATATATGTATTTCAAACAGGACAATGGCAGTCAAGCTTGTTTTGTCCTAATTCTAATATAGGTTACTTAATATAGCCCGGATACAATTTAATTTAATGTCAAATGAATAGTATAGCTTAAACTTAGCTATTCGTCGCGACAACTTTTTATATTATATAAACAAATATACCTTTAAAATAGTGCCTCGTACTAGAAGCTAGGAAAAGAAATAGAATCTTAAACATATGCAATAAATGAAACTTATCTTTATTTTGAACATTGCATCAATTGCGATTAAAACTAGTGTGGTGAAATCCTTCAATTTACAATATAATGATAACGGAAAATAATGATACTTGCTATATAAATATAACGACATATCGGTATCCACCGGACATCGTTTAGGTCATAATCTGTGATAAGGGCATGCTTATGACGTATATATAAAATATTTATATGAACATCTGTCTTCAAGTTCTCACATAGTACTATGTATATATAAGCTTGAATTTACTAGTCTTCTGTAGTTCGCTTAGCGATGCCACTACTAGGCAGTTACATTGTCATTCTAAATGATCATGAAAAACTACGATCGTCAATGAAAATTAAACTATTATGAGCGTTATAACTGAAAATATTGGAACTCATTTTACTTGTGTTTCTTTAATTACTTTCGAACAAATAGATAAACAAAAGCAATGAAACAGATATTGGCAAAGAAAGAAAAACAGTTTATTTGCACCATTACAGAAGAAACAAGAAAAAAATATTAAAAAAACAACAATGTATACGGTGCAAAAAGGTCAGTACTCAGCTAAAATGCCGTGTCGCGAGTGCGGTTGCTCGAGTCACGGCGCTGATTTTCAGCACTAGCCTATTGCCAGAATCTCATGACAAATTATATGGAATATAATATAAAAACAGAATAGAAACATCTAATATATTTCTTAACGATCACTGAAGTATTTTATTAAAACACGTATCATTTATGAATTTGACATCGATATGTTATCAAGACACTGTTTCATCTAACAAATACTTCAAAGAGCTCAAGTTTTGTCTCCCTATGTTTAAGTTCTTTACAAGTTCGACTCCAAGAATTTATAGGAGTTTGAGTTCACCAATACAACAAACAATGACTGTACGACGTAGTGGCCACTCTATAAACGTTTAAGATTCGACTCTATAAAGTAAAATTAATTCGATTTGAATTTTTCCTTTACAAATACAAGCTAGTATGTAGTATTCTAAAAGTATCCTTACAATTATTATCTGACGCACCAAGTACCAAATGTACGATATGCCTATGCTGAGGAGTCCCAAAAATGAACTCGATTGACTAGTACTACTAATTAACAACAATATTGCAAATTAATTGTTATGTTTCTCGGCTCACGCACGTAATTATTTGACGAGGAACTCGACTAGTTTCTAGACTCAGTAGCAGCCTGACAGTCACCGCGACAATGTTGCTCATAAATTTGGGCCTCTAGCATGGCTTGAAACTAGTCGAGTTCCTCGTCATATAATAACGTTAGTAGGCTGAAAAACATTATTATTAATTAAGTATACCTCACGAAAGTTATAGTATAAAAAAAATATTGTAAATTAAAAACAATATTAGAGTAAGCGGCATTTCATTGAAATTAATTGTTCAAAGTTGTAGCATAGAATTTTAATAATAGTAAAAAATTACGGTGTATTACAGCTGTCGTTTTCCGATGAAAATATACACGGCAGTTAACGGAACTTATTTGCTAATAAATAATAATATAAAATAACAATTCAATAGTACATTATTGGGACCCTCAAAATAATCTAAATGCTATTAAATTATAACTATATACACTAGATTTCTATCTATCAATCTCTTGTATGATGTACTTAATTAGGCTTTGTAAATTAACCTTCCATTTGTTTAAAGCGGTTAATTATTGAACTGATAAAGAATATGTATGATCATATCACGAGATTCTTTTATTTGACGTCAGAATGTAGAAAATGTTTTCTCTGTGCAACGTCAGAATGTACAATTGATGTTACAGTTTCATTATGTACAGATGTCACAGTGTATACAATTGGAACATTTTCTACATTTTGACGTTAAATTTTTCTACTTGAAACTCGCCTTTATGCATGTCAGACCACGTAGTTACATTAAAATTGCATTTGTTCAGTACCAAATAGCACAAGCCGTACTAGGAACTCATTGAATTTCAAACTTCATTATTATATCTACTACCTAGTATCTATAAGAGTTACAATTTATCAATATATATATCGACGTTGATAGACGTCGGTTGAACACATAAAAATAACCTTTATAAACTTCTTCGTAGTCTAAGATCTAGGCTTAAACGCTATAATGAATATAAAAAAAAATGTTTATTAATAAAAAAATTGAATATGATATCCAGGTAGAGATTGTTATTAGAAATGATGGTTTTTATATAAAATTATAAAGTAAATTTATTGCAGATAATAAAAAAATATTTTTCATTCCACTTTTTTGTTGCGACAATTATTATTATTATATACAAACATGAACACCATAATTATTGTTTAGTGGAAATAAGAGATTTAATATTATTTACCTTACTGTTTCAGCTTTAAACATTGTTCGTATGTAAAAAAGTGGAGTGATATAAAATTGACATTGATTTCGTTTATAGCTGACTAGTCTCGATTCCGAATGACAGACAGAATAAAAATATATATTTTATAGTTATTAATTGGCGCCATTTTTGGTTTAAAAATCAAAAACAATTTTAAATTTACGTTATTGATGTCATAATGTAAACTTTACGTCAAAATGTTGACGTCACTATTTTTTTGAACAAAAATTTAGCTTTTTTTGGTTTATTGTAATTATTATTATTTGTTTACCATGTGAAGTCGTCGGAATCGAGATAACAGCGTAGGTTGTTAATAGTGATATTACAAATTAGGTACATAAAAGTAAAAAAGTGTTATTAATTTTTAAAACTGTAGATAAGTTTTAGGAATTTTCATCATGTTGTAACAAGTAAAAATGGGAGGAGATGAGCTCTTATTGGTTATAATTTCCATTCAAATGATAAGTGATCGTTGTTTTTATAAAGTTTTAACAGAAATTCAGACTTCCGTAGTTGATTTTAAAGTTAATTTTTCAACTTTTGTGAATTAAATATCGCTGTGAATCTCGATCGGAACGTTGACAAAGAAATATAAATATAATAGATTTATATAATAATAGAATGTTTTCATATATTATTATACCATAGAGCACGTATTTACATATATTTTTCGATAGATCTGATTATTGTAAACTGCGTTCAAAAATGGTGATTTTAAATAATGTTGATTGAACGTAGGACTCCTCATTTTGAAGTAATAGTTAATAATAAGTGAAGCACAGTGTTGTTTGTTGACATATTTAATAATTATTAAGTGATATACATTATACATATTATATACAATTCCGATCGAGCGGTTGTTGTTCTATTAAAGCTTTTAATCATTGTTGACAATTGAAATATTGTGATAGTTTTAATAAATTCACTAGTTTATTGCATATATTGTAATAATTTCGTATGGTATCAGTGTTTATATGATTTTGACGTAAAAAAGAGCATGCCGTACCCAACGTCGGCAGTCGACGGTATTATGAAAAATTACAATAAAAATTATAAAATAGTGAGTGAAAATAATGTGGTTTTTATTTTATTGTACCTTTTTAATCCTCTCTTGTAAGTGTAGTTGCCGAGAAAAAGGTCTCGGGTTCAATTCCCGGGTCGGGCAGAGTATTTTCGATCTTGTTTATATTAAACTACCTTGTTGGCCGAGTGGTCGCAAGTAAAACTGCCGGGCAAGGGGTCTCGGGTTCGATTCCCGGATCGGGCAAAGTATATAATTACTGGGTTTTTTTTAAATCTCAGTTATAGTATGGAGTCTGGAATTGTGCCCGGTATATGGCAATAGGCTCACCCCCTATTACATGGGACTCATAACATAAATAGTGGAACGTGGGTGTTACATTGTACAATGGTATAATGTGCACCTCTGCCAACCCCGTCGAGGATAAAAAGCGTGATATTATGTTATGTTTTCTTTAAAATAAAAATAAATAAAACACTCCCATATCCAATTATAATTTTATTACTTAAATCTAAAAATAAATTAGTAATAGAAAACTGAAGATATGTATACATATAGTAATTGAAAATAATACATAATTACTTTGGCTTTAAGCTAATTTGTGGCACACATACTTTATGGACTCCATGTAGAAAAACAGGATGATCTTATAGCAACATAGACTTAAAATTAAGCAAGACAAGACACATAATCCAAAAAATACACCAATATATATTAAACCTTTTTATATTTATATCCCACAAGCAAACCCGGCGAACTCCGTTCCGCCACCAGATGGCTTCGTATTAAGTAACATTTCATTTGGTGATTAGTCAATTTTCTTTGCTTTTAACCTCACGGAGGTCGATACCTTTCCAATGAATGCAAAACTGTGGATCAGTTCATGCGTACTGGAGTTATAACGTCAGGAAGGAAAACTCGACTTATTTTTATTAGACTAGCAAACCCGGCGAACTCCGTTTCGCCACCAGATGGCCTCGTTTTATGTAACATTTCTTTTAGTGATTAAAATATGAAGAAACACTTTTTTTTATTTATATTTTACTAGCGACCCGCCCCGGCTTCGCACGGGTGCAATATGCATGTATTATACATACAAACCTTCCTTAAGAATCACTCTATCTATTAAAAATAACCGCATCAAAATCCGTTGCGTAGTTTTAAAGATCTAAGCATACATACGGACATACAGCGAAAGCGACTTTGTTTTATACTATGTATTGATGATAAACCTCACGGAGCCTGATACCTTTCCAATGAATGCAAAACTGTGGATCAGTTCATGCGTTCTGGAGTTACAGCGTCAGGAAGGCAAACCCGACTTATTTTTATTCGATTACAAATTTCTATTTGTATATTCTTATAACTCCAAACAAGGATGTTAAAAAAACCGACTTCAAAAACGAATGACTAACGAAAAGTGAAAACTAAAAAGGAAACAATAACTGTTATTGGTCATACGTACTTATAGCTTACACACCCACTGATAGATTAGAAGTCCTCCTCCTTTTTTTGAAGTCGGTTAAAAACAGGACCTCATCGTTCGCTTGATTAAATTGACGTGTAAAAGTGCTGCCTTGTAGCCTATTTGCAGAAATATATTCACTTGTTTCACTTGTGTCACAGGCGGACATATGCCGGAATACTGAAACGTTACTCAATTTTAAGTCGTGCTCAAATATCGTGCCGTCTCTGTCATTTTCAAAGAATTTGTAGTGACAGAACTATACTTAAGCACGACTTAAAATTGAGTAACGTTTCAGTATTCCGACATTAAAGTCACTTGGAATGATTTAAGCACCAAAATGTCAGTTGCTTATTTATGTGTGCGTGTGTAATGGGTTACCACGTTACCAGGCTTAAGAAAATGACAGATGTACTTCGTGTCAATGTGTGTGTATTCTTCGTGTAAGCCTACAGTAGCCAGGTGCCACAGTCGTTGTTTCAAGAGACTATGTCCACCGTTTTCAACGTCATTGATTCCAAAAATGATAACATTTCATAACTACACTACTTATTCTGATTCACAGATCGAAACTAGAACCCTAGAATACTCATCAGGCACTCATACCAACAACAAGGCAACCTCACACTTAAAAATAGTGTCTAATTATTACGTATATGTATAAACACATTCACAAAATATAGACATCGATAGACACAAACTAACGTTAACTAACATTAATAAAGATAACATTATTTAACATATTATTATTTAACCGACTAAATATCATCGCATACCTAACGAGTACGGCTGCGTCATGGCTCCGGCACGGCGGCGTTTCTTACTTTGAAAACATTATAAAAAAGGTTTTAAGCGCAGCGTCGGCGCGCAGGCGGAGCGCGGGCGGAGCGCGAGCGGCGCGCGAGCGGCGCGCTGCGGGACGCTTACACCTTTTTTTTATATTAACGTTATGAAATATGTCATACGACATACGATTCAAAGTTTATGTTTAAATGACAAGTTAATAGCTGAGTTGGAGCCATGACTGAGGCGTGTTTATTAGGTGTGCGATGACCTATAACACAACATTATCTACATTTGATAATCTCAAACGTGTAAAACATTTAATTTTATTGCCAAACATATTAAGAATTTTAAAGTCGAAAAACCCTAGAGTAAATGATACGAATAGGAAACCATATTTCTTTAATTTAACTCTAAATAAATCAAATTGATTATACTTTTATAAATACATAGATTTTTTTAAAGTTCTCTCGAATTACTGCATTTGGCTACTTTTTTGGCCGTGTGGTTAAGGGTAAGGGGTCTCGGATTCAGTCAGCAAAGTATTGCTGGTTTTTTTACGTCTCAATAGTAGCATGGAGTCTGAAATTGTGCCCGATATATGGATTGCCATGGTATATTGATACCACCCCCTATTACATGGGACACATAACATAAATGGTGAAAAGTGGGTGTTACATTGTACAGTGGTATGAAGTGCCGTAATGTGCACCACTGTCTACACCTTCGGGGGTAAAAGGCGTGAAGCTATGTTATGTTATATTTATCTCTCAAATGGTGAAATAGACACGACCTGTTTGTCTGTTAAGTCTTTCGACTTGAAGACATTATGAGGCTTTCAAGTTGATTCCGATTTTGTCACTGTCAAAAATATTGATATCAACGAACTAAAGATGACGTGACATTGTTATTTTTGTTACCTATTTGCTGCAATAAATACATATTTACAATAGTTTGTAAGGGTAATGGACCAGCAAAATATTCTGAGCGAAACTATTAGATTCTTGATAATGATGCACGGTTGGCGCGGTAATTGGGCAACTGACTGCCGCGCAACGTGTCGCGGGTTCGGTTCCCGCACGGAAAAATTCTTTACATTTTTTTTTGTGGCATAAGCCGGTTAACGAGCTGACGGATCACCTGATGGTAAGCAATCGGCGTCGCCCATGGACACCTGGAACACCAGAGGCGTTACAAGTGCGTTACCGGCCTTTTGGGGATTACGAGTTTGAGGATTGGGGAGATTGGGGAAGGGGAAGGTAATTGGGCCTCCGGTAACCTCACTCACACGACGAAACACAACGCAAGCGTTGCTTCACGTCGGTTTTCTGTGAGGCCGTGGTATCACTCCGGTCGAGCCGGCCCATTCGTGCCGAAGCATGGCTCTCCCACTACGATGATATGATCCACAGATTGTTGTTCCGGGTCTGGGTGTCGTGTGTATATGATCTTGTTTGTTTGTAAACGCACCCACGACACAGGAGAAAATTCTAGTGTGAGGCAACGTTACAAAAAAAATCTTAAAAAATCTAAATATTAAAGTTTTACAAAATTATAACAAAAATTGTGCCAAAATCTCCTAAAACATACTTAGACATCACATTTAGACTTAACATTTCTTACTCTTTAATATAATTATGTACTAAGTACTTATTTCAAATGAAATACAAACATTCTGAGATTACTTCTTCTTAAAGACACCTTCTCATACCTTCTTCATACCCTGGCTTTGAGGACATTTCCAACCAACAAACCAAAACAATGGGTTGGATTCCAGTCAAACCAGATTGCCAGAATTTTAATATTCTAGCCTTATGAACATCAATTCAGCCGCTTTAAGCGTATTATTTCTGATCCTGTTTTATATGAGGGTAGTTTTAGTAAAGCGCAGTGCGCAGGCGCGCTCGACAGAACAGTAGAAATGCCAGTAAGGCCGCCAGCGCCGCCCCGGCTAGTAGTGTTGTTTCATCGCGTCGTGCGCCGCCTGCTCGTTCTACTACTGTGCTCTGGAATTGGAGAATATCACATAATGTATTTTTCCTAATCCCCAAAAAGCTGATAACTTGCACTTCTTTTTTTAAGGGTCAACCCCGCTACAGCCTCCCAAAACCGCTGCAACTCCTGTAAGCCAGGATCACAATAGATACAACCACGAAAACACCGGAACACTGGAGTCCGGCGCGTCCCAGGGACATGAGTAACTGTCTTGGTTCCCGCAACGAAGTAAATCGGAAGATATTATAAGAGGAGAAGAAGAAAAACGATAGTTTTCACTTCCCTCGGTGAATTACTGTAGGAGACAGAATGAATTAAGCCTAAAGGCACAAAAAGGAGACTGTACAACTGGGTGAAGTCCAGTCGCCAAGCACCACGGAAATTTGACTAAAAATTAAGTCGGTCCTATGTGTGAGCACTTGTCGTGTCCATGAGTGACGCCGATTGCTTACTATCTGGTGATCCGTCTACTAGATTACCACCTTATCCCATTAAAAAGTATCTCCTGCATAAAGGAAATGAATAAAATCATTTTATTATTTTGTAATTTTTGTCTTATTTAATTTTTATCAAGTTATATCAATTTCACTTTACCACATCTGATGGTCAGATCAGTCTGGCGATTGATTGCAGAACAACAAGAAAAAAATCAAGATAGACTGCATCTCATTTGTAAAAGTAGTTGAAATCAAAACTAAAAGATTATAAATAACTATTTGAAAAATCTTCTATACCCATCCTCCATGTTTGATGGCCCACGGCGTGGCGCACTGTGCCACGTGCTTGGCGGCCCAGTCGACCGCTCGGCACCATCCTCCGACCCTCACAGCACGAGCACATACTTCACAAAGGAATGCTAGGACTACTAAAGCTCTTTGTTCTGTGTGAACGCAGGACTGGAAAGAGGCATAAAAACATATGTATAATATACATATTTTCTAAATAAAGTACTCGGATTTAATATGAATAATTAGTAATATTTTAATGAGACATTTGAATTCCTGGTGCGAAATAAATGATTCATCCCGTAGACTAGTGCATTGAAGCACTGAATGGTTAGATTATTGTAAGTGATTTACATAATTTTCAACATAATTTGTTGAATGTCAGAATTTTCCATAAACTCACACAAAATTCAGCAACACAAATATCACCAAAGTCGGTATCAGCCATCTGTCTGTCCCTATGTATGCTTAGATCTTTACAACTACGCAACGGATTTTGATGAGGTTTTTTTAATAGACAGAGTGATTATGGAAGGTTTATATGTATAATACATGCATATTGCACCCGTGCGAAGCCGGGGCGGGTCGCTAGTTTCATTATAATATGAAGTGTAGTCACATCAGCAATATGTCTTTCTTGATCCTCACCTGACACAACTCCTGCATAATATCTTCAAACTCGACCTCGTCAAGGCACAGCAGGGATATATGTTCCGCCTCAGCTGCTAGCCTGGCTCGAGCCTTCGTCTCCCTGAACCTTCGAGCTGCTCTCTCCAAAGACCTCCAGTCGCGCCAGTACATCCACCATCCCCTGAAATGGTGACCATAGTTTAAATATGGGTCTTAAATTATTTCATATTTATAAAACCACAATTTGAGTATTCATTATTTTATGGGATGTCTCTAGACATCTACTGCTGAACATAGGACTTTCCCAATAACTTGTGGAAGTTTCTTACATAAAAATGTTTGGCATAATGACTAACACAATTTATCCAGGGATTAGGGAAGTCATTTCACCCGCAGCTTATCCGACAACCCTTCGTCTAACTCCTTTGTTTAACAATAAAATGAATGATTTCGAGTTAATAGTTTCGAGAAATATCTTGGGAAAATTTTTCATTTCAATAAATAAATCATATGTGAATCAACCGTGGCATTTGGAGCGAAGGATTTTCGAGTAATACCTTTTACTTACCTCCAGAATCCCTGAAAACAATTGTATCGGCCCATGCGCCAAACACTCTGTATAAAGATGTACTTGTTGATAATGTTGAAATGGAAAGAAAAAAAACCGTTGCATAACAGAATGAATCAAGAAGAGAAGAATATAAGAGTAATGTGTTAATTCCTTGATGTTACATTGCTGACGGTAAGCAGTCAAAGCCGCCCTTGGACACATCTATTTGTCTGCCTTCCTATCCCGCAAAAAGGTCTGCATTATTAGTTTATTAATAAAATCCAAAAGCATATACCTTTGATCAGGTTTAGCTGGTGCCACAAAGCAGGGTGGTGGCCTCAGATGCTCCAGCCTCAAATGCTGCAGCAGTAACGCCCTGAACAGCCTGACTCCTCTCTCTTCTTCTTCTCCTTGAAGCTCAGGTCCTCGCCAGTGACCCTGGCACTCGTCTCGTCGTTCCTCATCCAGGGAGACTTGGCGTAGAAGTGGAGCTCGTGGTGTGTCGTAGTCTTCAAGGCCTTGGACACTGCATGCTGGAAAAATATTTTATTGTTACTTTTAAAGACTGCCTGCCTCAATGACTGCCTCGTTGGGCGAGTGGTCGAAAATGCGACTGCCGGGCAAGGGGTCTCGAGTTCGATTCCCGAGTCGAGCTAAGCATTACTGGGTTTTTCTCATTGGTAGCACGGAGTCTGGAACTGTGCCCGATATATGGTAATTGCCATGGTGCCCATTGCGGCACTTAATGAAACTGCATAATGTAACACCCACTTTTCACTATTTTATGTTATGAGTCCCATATAATAGGGGGTGAGCCTATTGCCACTGAGATTTTTTTGACCTTTGCCAGACCCGGGTATCGAACCCAAAACCCCTTGCCCGGAAGTCGCACTTGTGACCACTTGGCCAACGAGCCAGTTACCTAAGTACACCCTTAGTAAAACAGCAGATCGTACAGCATATCAATCTATATAGATAAATAAAACTGTTTGTAATATTAATATAACCGCTTCTTACTACATGTATATGAATATACAAAAGATATTTTTTTTTAATTTTTGTCTGCCTGTTTATACTGGCAAATCTCTAGAATGGCTGAACAGATTTTGACGAGACTTTTATTGGCATTTAGCTAATATTCTAAGAAAGTAACATAGGCTACTTTTATTTTAGAAAATTGAAACAATAAAAAACTTATATCCTAAACTTCATTTTCTACGCGGACGAAGTCGTGGGCAACGGCTATCCGTATATAAACACTTCACCTTGACATAGTAAGCGATTAAATAAAAATATGTACAGTACAGTACATAGGTACCAACACGCGTTAATTAAAGCGCTTTGTAGTACAATCAAGATAATGGCTTTATGCCACCTTTCCACATACACGCACACTTTACTACATGCTAGTGAGTGAAGCATACCGAGTAAATATTTAGTTTTCGTTAGCTTTTGTTGTGTGTATTCTGTGATTTTCATAACCATAAAAAAAGAAACGAAATGTCTAAATGATGAATTACAGGAAGGCAGCTGATGAGGGTGAGTAAGGGATTAAGAACTACAACCTGAAAATGGCTATCAAACGCAGGGACACGGCAGTCGTGGGTGCTCTCTTGGGCGGGGAATGTTGCTTGTGATAATACGAATGCAACATGAGGAAATGTGTATGCAGAAACATGTAGAAATAGAAATTAACCCATTGACTTTGAACTATTGTACGCTTTATTGGAATCGGCCAACGCGGCAAGGGTTGAGGCGTCATGCACACATAAATGTCCTACAGTCGGTGGCGCTGTGTGTTGGGTTGTTCCGTTCCCAATAAAAAGGTTGACCGGACCAATTGCTGACACAATAAATAGTGCCTAATTATTATGTAATTTATACTTTTGGTAATATTTATATATGTACTTAATTGTAGTGTGTAACTAGGTTCCCTCTTTACTTTATAAAAATTGACTAGATGTATTATAATAAAAAAAAGTATGACAAGGGCACCTAGAATACGTGGAGAATTAATCTATACTTATAATAAATCTGTAGAGAGGTCAATTCTGTACATAAAATATATTTAAAAAATAACTATCAAGGGGTGGTTAGGGATCGCTACTGATGCCAAAAATGCAATCAGTAAAATTTTTGTCTGTCTGTCTGTCTGTCTGTATGTTCGTTATGGAAACAAAAACTACTCGACGGATTTTAACGAAATTTGGCACAATTATTCTATATACTCTTGGGCAGGTTATAGTATACTTTTCATTATGCTACGATCAATAGGAGCAGAGCAGTGAAGGGAAATATTGGGAAAACGGGAGAAGTTACTCCATTCATTAACTTAATACACAAGGAGTTACACGCTGACGGAGTCGCGGGCACAGCTATCTATACTTTTCTGCCGGAAGTCACTATTCCACGCGGACGAAGTCGCAGGCAAAAGCTAGTATTAAATACAGTGCTTGTTTTAGTATTAGTGTCGACTTTTGCTTATGAGTACCTAAGTTAATTGGAGATTAGCGTACCTAGGAAGATGACGTGATGATGATGAATTGATGACAGACAAACATACAAACATTTTCACTTATTACCTGCTTACAGTAAGCTCGATCACAGGTAGGCAGTTGACTCGTTCACTAAATTGTCTTCAGCTTTAGGTACTTACGTTTTGAAGAGCTGTCCACATAAATTGTTCTCAATTACTTTCCTTTAGTCCAAGTTAACAAAGTCATGTTAGTTTTACTTAAGGATCTAAGCAAACTTGCGACTTTTAGTATCAGGTTACGATTTTTATTATTTTTGAGAACTGCATAACATAACATCACGCCTTTTATCCTCGAAGGGGTAGGCAGAGGTGCACATTATGCCACTGTACAATGTAACACCCACTTTTCACTATTTATGTTACGAGTCCCATGTAATAAGGGGTAAGCCTATCGCCATATACCGGGCACAAATCCAGCCTCCGTGTTACTACTGAGATTTTTTTTAAAAACCCTGTAATATTTTGCCCGACCTAGGAATCGAACCCGAGACCCTTTACCCGGCAGTCGCGCTTGCGACCAACGGCCAACGAGGCAGTCAATAGTAAGTCCAAGAGGCAATTGAGAACTGCAATTTTTTTTTAAAGAAGGATATAATGGCCATTTTGGAGTCATTATTGATAATTAATTTTAGGCGCACTTTGTCAATCAACGAGACAGGCTACGTGTCTTATGAGCAGTTCTGTATACATGCAATAAGGCTTCTATTTAACCTGGATGCTACAAAGAAGACAAAAGAAGGTTACCTATAATTTGTTTTTCGAAGTAGGTAATACAACAATCCACTTAAATATGCCTAAAGAAATCATTAACACGTTAACCGCCGCGGAGGTCATCGGTGACCTACGTTAGCGGAGGATTTGCCTTCAGCAGTTTTCTGTCGGCAGTCAAAGGCTTGAATAAAATCACATGCACCGAAGCAGTCGCAGAATCGCAAAGTCGTCGTATAAGTAGCAAGTTTGCTTCTAACTTAAGCCTAATGACATAAACGACTAAAAATCATGAAGACTTCATTCTTCTTTTGTTTCTGAATCTATATTCATGCAATATGGCGGGTCTTTCCATTGTACTTTTTTTCCTTGTTATCCAATGTTCTGTTCTCATACAGACTAAAGATATGGAGAACATTAACTTTATAAAACTTTTCATATTAAACGATCAGAAGCCCACGCATTTGATCTATGGTGGTTTGTGTTGGAAAAAGGGTAAGTAGGTACCTGAATATTGTATACTCCTGAGGTTTTTATACAGCTAGCATGTATTCTTTTTCAATGAATTTAAATTAATTAAGATAATTGTATCAAATGAGAATTATGATTGGCATGGACTTAACATGTTTAAAATTTCTACACCAGAAATGGTAGTATATGTGATTCCATACTTAGTTTAAGATCTCAGTGTACCATATACTTAGAAATAAACATATCTTTATCTTTATCTAGTGGTTCTCCTAATGAATGCCCTTATCATAACCACTACAACATTATTGCTGCCGGTCAACGGGCCGAGTGGTTGCAAGTGCGACTGCCGGGCAAGGTGTCTCGGGTTCGATTCCGGGGTCGTGCACAGTATCACTGGGTTTTAATAATATTCTCAATTGTGCCCGGTATATAACAAATAGGCTCATCCCCTAATACATGGGACTCATAACATACCTAAATAGTGGAAAGTGGGTGGTACACTGTACAGTCAAGTGACGTAATGTGCATCTTTGCCCTAATGTAAACTACCAAACTTGAAATTACGAATACGATACCTGGCTGCCTGGCTCAGAAAGCCCGGGAATGGGCCTGGGGTTACCTAAAAATGATGATTTCGACAGTTTTCTACATAGCCAGCCAGGAAAACAGTTTTCATGCTTCTAGGGTTGCATGGGTGTTGTGTGCATAGGTTACGGTGTCCGCTTACCATGAGGTAGCCCTTGCCTGTAAGCTTCGTTGCTATCCAAAGTTGTATAAAAAAAACAATCAGCCGAACATAGTACCTCCACCTATTCATTTATTGATTTATTTATTGTATAAACTATTAGGTTAAAATTTCGTTCATAATTTAAATTAAAATAGGTTATTTTTATTTTGGAAAATCTTAGAATAATATCATTGTATATATTTTTTTGTTATTTTATTGTTATTATTATATGTATTACATTATAATAATAGTCACGGGCAAGTGCTGAAAATCAGCGCCGCAACTCGAGCGCACTCGGGTCACGGCATTTAAGCTGAGCTCTGGCCTTTTTGCGGCGTCTTCACTGTTTTAATTTTTTTGTATGTATTGTACTTTGTGACGGTGTGCAAATAAACAATTTTTCTTTATTTCTTTCTTTCTATTTTTGAAGTCGGCATCAACATGTTCTAAGTGTCACTGTTTCCTAGCTAAGCTACTAGGTGATCTGCTTACACAAGATGAGATGAGGTGAATTTAAATAAAACCGCCTCTGTGTACTGTACTGATCTACGCTGGTATATGTATTTTTTATTTTTTATTTTATATCAATACATAGTATAAAACAAAGTCGCTTTCGCTGTATGTCCGTATGTATGCTTAGATCTTTAAAACTACGCAACAGATTTTGATGCGGTTTTTTTTAATAGATAGAGTGATTCTTAAGGAAGGTTTATATCATGCATATTGCACCCGTGCGAAGCCGGGGCGGGTCGCTAGTCTATAATATTATAAAAAAAATGATGAATTACGACGCGACGCGTAGACGCGCTGCTAACCGACAGGCAACAGTAGTAGCGCGACAGTCGCCGCGTCGAGTGTCGCGGAATGCTGCTCATGAATATGAACCTCTAGCATGGCTTGAAACTAGTCGAGTTCCTTGTCAAATAATCATGTGAGTAAGGCGAAAAAAATTATAATGAATTTAATATGTCTCACGATAGTTACAATAGGTAAACCCTAATTCGGAAATCGAAATTCATTCGTTTAAACATTCATTTTTTTTTTTCTTAATAGCACAAAGTTTGGAAATTGTGCCAGATATACCGCAATAGGCTCACTCCCTATTTCAGAGGAATGGTAATAACATAGTTCGCGAAAAAATTGGTGTGTATACCTATAAAAAACCTTTAAAATTCACCAAGTAACAGCAACCGAGTCTTTTAACAAATTTATATGACAACAGGTCACTCAATCCACCATTCCATATTAATCTAGAATCTTCTCCAAAACGTTTTATTATCTGTAATACTAATAATATATCATCATCATCCTCAATCGACTAGTTGGAGTCGACTGGCTCCAATCAAAAAGTTGTAAATCCATTTGTTTCATTAAAAGCAATTTCATACTCTCGCAAAATAATCGTTTGAGCGACGCACATACAAAGATGCAAAATGGAAATAAAAAAGAGCACATCAAAATCTACAAAATTGACAATGTTCAAAACTCCCGGAAAACATTCCAGTTATCACTACCAAATTACTGAACTATAAGATATTTTCACAAGTATCTTTCAAATAAATAGAATTAGTAGGATCGGGCCACAAATACAAATTGATTTTTTTTTTCTCTTTAAGATATATATTAAACTGTCAAACACCAAGCGGTCACCGGTGACCGCAACCTGTTGTTCTATAATTGTGTCTATAATGACGGTACTCGACGAGTTAATTTATAAGTCAACAAATATATTTTGCGCCCTTTTTCCATACAAAATGCTAATGACATTCATAACAGTTCCCTACGTCTACATCTCAAGTGGGTCACTCGTTATGGACAGACCAACAATAGTCTCTGTGCTCAGACAGACACTCTTATAGTTCTAGGAACATCTAGTTTATCTGGGAATGAATAAAGACAAGAAATAGGTATACGAACGTGTGTTGGAGAATTTATTCGAGATAATATGCTCAGGTTTTGTTATATAGGAGTAATGAAAGACGTATGTGTGTAGTAATATTGAGTAATCGAGGAAAAATAATGTTATTAGAGAAAGGTGTGGATTGAAAGATGATGTAGTGACAATGATTGAAAAAGGAATGCTACGATGGTTTGGACATGTAGAAAGGATGGATGGAAGTAGAGTAACGAAAGAAGTATACAGCGCGGATATGAATCAGGCCGTCGGTAGAGGTCGCCCTAGACGGACATATGTATATTGATCAGATTGGCGATATATTAAGGGTCGAATTAAAAGAACCATTACCGACGAACATGTATGAAAAGACTAATGACTGTTGATGAAGCCAAAGAGGTAAATAAGAATCGTAGTAATTTGCGTTCCATAGTCTCTGCCTACTCCTATGGTAGACAGGTGTGAGGTTATGTAAGTATGTATTTTTCACAAGACTTACATTCACATTGAAAATGTCTCACATCTCACCACAACTCATCACAACTCATATCAAAATTCTAATACAAAATATCTGCATCGATCTAAAGTTGTAGCAAGAAAGAAAGCTGTGTCTAAAAATAAATCCAAAGATTTTGATTAAAATTCGTTATTAATTTCAATTTCGTTCGTCAAATAAAAAATTAAGAATAATACTGCGAAATAATTCATCGGAAAACTGACAATTATTAAAGTTCAACGTTGACACAACTTCGTTTTTTCACGCTTTCAAGATTATTTTTTTGCAAATAAATTACATTGGCATCTATAAGCTGTGCCGGCGAGCGTCGGGATGTCTCAGAATCAATAAATAACTTTTACGAAATGTACCTAATGTAAGGGAAAATTAGATTTTCGTAGCCTATATGTATAAAATCTTTGACATTTTCTTGGTGCTTTGGATATTCTGCAATTTTAAAAGAAGACTAATTCAAAATAACATAACATCACGCCTTTTATACCCGAACGGGTAGGCAGAGGTGCACATTATGCCACTGTACCTACCTACTATGTAACACCCACTTTTCACTTCTTATGTTCGACTGCACGGTTGGTGCGGTGGCTGGGCAACCGGCTGCCGTGCAACGTGTCGCGGGTTCGATTCCCGCACGGAACAAAACTTTGTGTGATCCACAAATTGTTGTTCCGGGTCTGGGTGTCATTGGGTATGTGAACTTGTATGTTTGTAAACGCACCCACGACACAGGAGAAAATCCTTATTGTGGGGCAACGTTAAAAAAAATCCGTTTCCGTTTGTTATCCCATGTAATAGGGGGTGAGCCTATTGCCATATACCGGGCACAATACCACACTGAGAATCCCGACCCGGGAATCGAACCCGAGACCCCTTGCCCGGCAGTCGCACTTGCGACCACTCGGCCAACGCGGCATTCTATTCTAGTATAGTCACTAATTCAATACCAAATGTAATAAGTAAAAAGAATTTGTAAATGTCGTTCTACCTCTAAATTGTAAGTAAAATATGACTTCGATGATTTTGACAAAACTTTTTACTTACCCCGTAGAAAGGATGACTGTGAGCGATGCATTATGACTTTTATACTGCAAAGAAAAATAAAATAATTAAGAAAATTATGAATTTTAGACAAAAACAGTCATCGAACGTTGACTTAAATAGTCATACAACCGAAACCAAACTGGATAAATAAGTAAAAATGTCAGCGAAATCTAAACAGATACAAAAAATTGGATTGTCTGTTTGTAATATTAAAATAACCACCTTTTAAATGCATATGAATATACCTACGATACACAATGTTACTAAAACAATATTTTTTACAATTTTTGTCTCTCTGTGTGTTTGTACTGGCTAATCTCTGGAATGGCTGGACCGGACCGATTTTGACTGGACTTTTATTGGCGGATAGCTGATGTATTAAGGAGTTTATTTTGCAAAATTGAAACAAAAATGTTATGCTTTAATATTCATGTTCTACGCGGACAGAATCGCGGACTACAGCTAGTAAATAATACAAAAAGTTGAAGAGATTGTTTGTTTATACGCGCTAATGGAATGGAAACGCCACTCACAGTATTTAAATGAATGCGCTTGCATGTGATTACCCTAGTTCTTGAGTAAGATCGTGAGCTATTCATCATCGCGATATGACACTATAAGAAAACCACGAGTTTAAAGTAGTCGAAAACATAACATCGCGTTGTTTATTACCTGATGGGATAGTCGTTTGCATTTATGTCAGTAAAAGTTAGAAGCCCTTTTGGAGGGGGGAAAATCATCCAATCGCTCGGGTGAGTCGAGAGGGAGTGTCAGTCAGTCTCTTACTGACTAAAAACCACCCCGTTCCTACTCCTGCACTTCGAGTAGGAGCCCCGGCAACCCGTTATGACCTCCGCGGCTCCAAAAGCCCTATACCAATTATACAAAGTGTAAACGGAACGCGTCCAAAAAACGAATACCTACAGGTGATGGTAAAAAAGTAGGGTTATTTTGAAAAAGTATAGAAGTAAATGTTTCTTTTATTTACATAATTAAGTGTGGGTGAGCCATGCTTCGGCATGAATGGGCCAGCTCGACCGGAGTGATACCACGGCCGAGCAGAAAACCGACGTGAAGCAACGGTTGCGTTGTGTTTCGTCGTGTGAGTGAGGTTACCGGAGGCCCAGTTACCCTCCCCTTCCCCAATCTCTCCAATCCCTGAATCCCCAACGATCCTCGAACTTCTAATCCCCAAATGGCCGACAACGCACTTATAACGCCTCTGGTATTCCAGGTGTCCACGGGCGACGCCGATTGCTTACCATCAGGTGATCCGTCAGCTTGTTTACCGGCTTATGCCATAAAAAAACAATAATAGTTGTATGGCTGATTGATGAAGACGAAAACCTAAACGGTTAAAATTTTTGTAACAAGAATTGTTTATATGCGTTGTCTTATGCGTTCCGTTTACATCCTGTATAAGAGGCGAATCTGGCATACCAAAGACACTATATCGAACTTTTTTAAACATAATTGATGGGCCGACGTTTGACCACTATCTCGCCTGTGCCTTTAGCTACACGCCACTTTAGCGCTTGTCTACAGAGAGAGTAGAAATCAAAATGTATGGGGATGACACTATCAAGTGTCAAAATTTACGTCAATTCCATATATTTTGGTTTTCTATTGTACATAGAGGTACATTGTCACCACTCGACACTGGCAGTATAGTCGACAACACTATTTTGGAGACTCGATTGCCAAAGAAGAATAAAAAAATATGTAGACAAGCGCTAAATGGCATTTGGCTACAGCTGCTGGTAAGCGATGATGCGGTATACGATACTCAAGAAGTCAATTCTACTAATACGGATTATCAAAAACTGATGGCTACTATTTTTAGTTATAATAAAGTTTATAGTTTTTTTTTTAAAATAACAGGAAGCCTAGACAATAGGTTTACTCACTAAGTCAGCATATTTGTTAATCTTTGACTCCACAGTAATTAAATTTTATACTAATAGGATTAGCCTGTCCTATTTTACACGAAACTATACCCTGGAGTGGCGTTTACTCTAGTTAACTGAACAGTAGATATTATTAAGCATTCGTTTAACTCGGATAGTATTTGGATTATATTATAGACCCCGTTTAATTTGCTACTCCATTTGTCGATGTTGTATTAACGTATTTAAATACTATTTCACAATATCCTTATACGCTCTGTACGAAAAATTTGTCAATTTCTCCGTCAAATAAATTAACAAAAACTTAATCAGGATCTGAATAATTTTTAACTAGCTCTGAATTAACTTTTCTTTTAAGCCTTACTTTAACTCGTCGAGTACCGGTTTTGTAGACACAATTATAGAACAATAGGTTGCGGTCACCGGTGACCGCTTGGTGTTTGACAGTTTAATAAACCAAATAAAAACTATTCTAATACACGGGCATATAAATAGCGTTCCTTCTAGAGCACATTCATTAAATATTAATCTGTCTCGAAGGCATAACAATAACTGTGTCGCAAGCTTTTATAAATATTGTTAAGCCGGACAATCTTATTTTCAGTATCAGTCGCTTAATAAAACGAGATGACATAAAAAGAAAAGAAAAACAACAAAATCCTCACTCCCCTAACCTCTTTAAACAAGATTAGACTATCCGGGCGCGTAGCAACAGCTCTCGATTTCAAAAAAAGGAACACAAATTCCGCGGCAAATTATCTACGCGGCCATCTTTTTTACAACCACCACAGATAATAACAAACATACCTGGCGTCACTTTGAGAGTCTGGTAATCCATTTTGATTATTTCCAAATCGTCCAGAATCCACCAGCGTGTCTTACCAGGAATGTCTTCGTACTGACAGTGAGTTAAACAGTAGCGACCTTGCAGTACGGGTCATGACCCTGACACACATTTGTACGCATGCGCGAAGACTGGGGTTGGTTGTAAGGGACGAATTTCCAGGTATTTTACTCGAACACTATAGTACTACGTACTACGTATGATTTCCAGTGTCAAGTTAATTGGTTTGTGATATAAATCATGTTTTGTAAACAATTTTATTGAGTGACAAGAAAACTTGTTACTTTTACTTTCTTAGCAAAATGATGCAAAATTAAGATGGCGCTGCTTATTCGAACTCATCTAAAAGTTGTAATTACTTAAAGTTTATTTTCTCATTCCCAACGCTTTGTTTTTAACACTATTTAACTATTTAATACACTTTATAACACAAAGTATCTACTACTTTCCCATATTAATTATTTCTACATTTAGTATCTCTTTCTATCTCTAAACCACAATTAGTGGTTGATTGTTGATTCATTTCCACAATGTTATATCAGGGTGAAAGAGGCCGAATGTTCCATTAGCAGCTGTGGTTGACACTGTTAATGGACAGTAGACATACTATCGATTATCCATAAAAATGAATTATAAAACTGCCTTTCACTCGCGATGAATAACAATTAAGTTTAGTATGTAGCAATATTCATTTATTTATTTTCGATGAGGAAAAATTTTTTTAATTTTTTTTTCTTTGATGTCTTAAGCTTAAGGTACTTTTATTATTTTTTTAAAGTGTAAATATTTTAGTTTTTATTTATTTGTATTTCAAGTTGTGTATTTTTATTCATACTAAACTTATTTAAGTTTATTTTTTTATTGAAATAAATTGTACCTATTTATTTTTTACCTACGAATAATTAAAATAGATTACCAGACAAGAAAATTCTAGACTGAACATGTAGACAATCGAAATAAAATTAATTTCTCTTAATTATCTTAATGAAGTCTTCTTAATTTAATTTTCAATATTTTCAAATAATGAAAACATTCTCTTTCTATTTTAATTGAATTTTGAAGACAAATACAAAATTGAAACAGGATAAATAAGAAACGAGTGATTGACAAAACCAATATTAACATAGAGCACCGAGCGGAGTCGAATGTCGAATATTTTTTAATAAAAAATCTCCAATACTGAAACGCCAATGTATGTCAAGTCAATAGGCTCCCCTCTTAAAGACGAGAGAGTATCTAAATAACTCCGGGCGTAGAATTTTCAATTTTATCTCGAAATTGTAAGGTTGGAAATGTTTTAAAGATTATTTTCAGTTAGGGATACCTTTATGTGCTTGGTCTGCACACAATAATAGAGTAGATGCCTAATTATTATTTTAATGTCCGTCTGGTAGATTATTTTAAATCATTAGACACGTATTTTTTATTTTCTTACAGAAATGAACACTTTCGACGATATATTGATTTGAAATCTCGCTTGACGTCACTTCTATGCACATTTTATATGTACGTAGAAATGACGTTTTAGCCCCCACTAATAAACTTTGATTTGTTTTATTTAAGTATTGTTTTATTATACGACAAAATAAAAAATTACGTGTCTAATATTTTTTAATTACCTAACTTACGGACTAATTAGATTTTTAATTTTCATACCCTGTCATCATCCCAATTCCTAATGCTCACTGGTTCAGATATTCACTACCCTGAATTAAGGTATTGAACAAATATCGTGGTTAGCCTTTGAAGATTCTGTGTTCGGTCGTTCGGAAAGTATTAAAACGTATTTTTACATTTCGCTAACTTTCACAAATCACAAAGTAAATGTAAAAGTTTGTATGTTTATGTATTTGTATGTTTGGGTGTATGTCACTCAATCACGCCAAAACGGCTGAAGGGATCAGGATGAGTTTGGAACAAGGATAGATTGTAGTCTAAAATAACACATAGTGACGATACAATTATAATTACTATTGTGCCCGGTATATGGCAATAGGCTCATGCCCTTTTATATGGAACTCATAACATAAATAGTAAAAAGTTGGTGTTACATTGTACCTACTGTAAAATTAAGTGCCGCTATGTGCACCTCTACCTACCCATTCGGGTATAAAAGGCATCATGATGTAATGTAATAACAAATGGTGACATAGGCTACTTTTTATTCCACGGGAACGCGATCTAGTTAAACATAAACACGCCTGTTAATCTCTGAAGGGCGTTAACCTCCGGAAATGACGGTAACAAATGATCTACCCTGTCGTCATCACATGACTGTTGGAGACCTCTCTAATAGCAGAACCCTGAGTTTGATGCTTAGCTCTTCTTGTCCAACCACTCATCATTATCATATCAGCCACTGAGCACTGCTGAACATAGGCCTCCCCCAATGACTTAAGTCTAACCACAGCCAAAGGCCTTAGTACGAGTTTAATTTACGTTTAACTCGTTGAGTACCGTCATTATAGACACAATTATAGAACAATAGGTTGCGGTCACCGGTGACCGCTTGGTGTTTGACAGTTTAAAGTATTCGAAACGAGTATGCGTTCGGCACTCTGATTGGCCGGCGCCAATGAAGCAACCAATCAGAGCACCGAACGCGTAATCATTACGATTACATTAAACGTAAAACAAACTGGTAATAAGGCCTCTGAACATAAATAAAGTCAATTAAAAATCGAAACAGTTATTTATATTTTTTTTATTAAACCTGTAATGCTGACTGCACGGTTGGCTCGGTGGATGCGCAGCTGGCTGCCGCGGAACGTACCTACGGTTCCCTCACGAAGCAACTCTTTGTGTGTTCAACAAATTGTTCCTTCGAGTCTGCTGTCATGTGTATGTGAACTTGTATGTTGGTAAACGCACCCATGATACAGGTGAAAATCCTAGTGTGGGGGCAACGTTTATCAGTACATACAACTTAGTAGTAGTAGTATGTCTAAAACAAAATCGCTATCCGCCGTCTGTCTGTCCCTATGAATGCTTAGACCTTTGAAACTACGCAACAGATTTTGATGCGTTTTTTTTAAAGATAGAGTGATTCTTAAGGAAGGTTTATATGTATATAATACATGCATATTGCTCCCGTGCGAAGTCGGAGCGGGTCGATAGTAAAAAAAATAAAATAATAAAACCACAGTTTGCTCTAACTAAAGTCAACTTGCGTGTTAAAACGAATTTAAAGGAACAAGTTAGTATGTTTTACTAAACAAAATAGAATTGTGACATTTATTTGTACTTGAATTACGGTTATGTTGTTTCTCCCAGTTGTACCTATAATAAAACAATAAACTTTTGTTTGTTATGGATCGTTTTCTTACTTTCCTTTTATGAAGACTTCTGTGGAATGTTTTATTTGCTATCAAATTACAGCACAATTTCGTTATTGGGCAAAATTGTAAATTGAAGCGAATCTAAGGACCGCATTACAGAATTGTATTGATAGACTCGAAAACATAATAGTTACTTAGGACAAGAGGACACATGAGACCAAACCTGTAAATCGAGTATTTTATAAACTAATTCTCACTATACATTATATACCTATATTTGTTCTTGTAATTATAACTTGAAGGTCTATTGAGAGAGCATTTTTTAAAACTTTTCACCGGGAATTTTCACATGTTGCAGGTGGAATATTTTTTATCTAATAGCATAAGTGAGACACAAACTAATTGAAGTATCCAGCTTGCACACTTCGAGAAGAGCTACGTATGTGTATTTACGACTATAAGTCCCGGTGCCGCTTGAAACTAGTAGAGCTTTTCTCGAATAGTTTACACAAGCAAGTCAACCATATATTCCACCTAACCTGGAATAATTGTGCAGTGGCATAATGTGCACCTGTGCCTACCCCTTCGGGGATAAAAGGCGTGATGTTATGTATGCATGTAACCTGGAATAATTTTAGCAATACGCTCGCCCTTTATCTACATATCGAACAAAAAATATGTATAAGTAGATATAATAATTATAACAGAAATTTCAAATCCCAGAGCACAAACAGACTAATTTAAAAGCGACAAACAGCGTCTGCTATCGAAGTCTGATTGAGTTAGTTCATTGCTTTAATAGTTAGGGACTCAATTGGTTATCGGCGCTCGTTGTGCAACTACTTGTATCGTACCGGAAGATCCACATTGGTCAGGATTACGCTCCTATCACTCAACCAGACTACACGTGTACACTCACCAAATTTAAAATATACCAACGACAAATACGACTGAATTAAAATAGTGTAAATTATTCTTTATTTAAGTGTCTTTAGAATATTTCTGTTCAGTGCAAAAACATGTGTATTCATACAAAATGAGAAATTCTCCTAAAAGAAAAGTATCGACGGACATCCACCCGTTTTGCTGCCAAAAACTCTCTGTGATCGCTTGCTCGTTTGCAGTGGTTTCCTTACTAGTTCAAACATACAATTTCTTTGATAATGGTGAAGTGAACTTTGATATAGAAGCTAAGAAGTTAATGAAGAATGTTCTAGAAGAAAGCATTGAACAGAAAGTTGAGGCGTATTTTGTGAAGATCAGTGGAAGCACGTCGCATAGGCTAAAACGAGAAGCTATGTTGGTATGTAGTAGAAATTCAGTAAATATAGAAGGAATTTCTTAGATTTTATTAGCACTGTAGTTTCCCAAGAAATGTTAGAAAATGCATAGAAATTGTTTGTTTTGTTTAATATAGATACTTATAATTTATAAGACTTGCTTTTGCTGTTGCGGTAGTTAACCTTTATTATTATATTTTATTTATATTAAAATTTGATTTCTAATCACAATTGTGGAGATAGATAGACCTATAAATAGTTTAAATTGCGGCTCTAGTATTGCCGACTCCCTTCGCATTACACTGAGTAATTTAATTTATTGTCATAGTAAATAATCAACTCTGTAACTACTGACTCGTAGACGTATACAGACACATATGTACATGTATTCGGTCCTAAGGTCCAAACTTGTTTGTGACAATATTTTGATGTTGCTTCGCTATATTGTACTCTTTCTTAACAATCAAGAAATTTGCGGTCTGTC